CTTTTAAGCCACGATCACACCTAGTAATTAAATAATTTTTAAGATTTAATGTCTGTTTGCTCCCTCCACCCCTAACTCCACTGAGAGGACCACTATATTCCTGGAGCTATTATGGGACGTGATGCACAGTAAGTCCTCAGTGAGATGCTGATGGAGCATAAACGAAGATGAAAGACGGGTCTGTGTGTGGTGGGGAATCCCAGTGAGGGACGGGAGGATCCCCGGGAGACCTGGATGGGCTTTCTATGAGGCCAGGCTGGGGGCTGCTAAGGTGCGTATTGTTGGGGGAGGTTATGTGACAGAAATGGGGTCCCCAAGAGGCAGGGATGGACATCTATGTGAAGAGAAAATAGAGGTCCCCAGAGGTGGAAATAGGGGTTATGTAACAGCCATGGGGGAACCTCTGAGTTGAGGTGGGATTAAGACAAGGTGGAGACCGGAGTCACACAAGGAGAAGCGGGTGGTTCCGAATAGGCAGAGATGGGGGTCACTGTGGGAGGGGAATGAGAAGGCTATGACAAGGGATGGGAATCAGTGTTGCACAATTGGGGCAGGGGTCCTGTGTTAGGTGCAGATGGGGGTCCTTGTGACACAGTTGAGTGGTCCAGGTGAGATGGGAATAGGGGCTGGTGTCGCAAAGGTGGAGATATTGTGTGCGGCGGAAATAAGGTCCGTGTTACAGAAGTTGGGGGGGCGCGTCTCACGTATAGTGGGACGGGGGTCTGTGTCACAGAGTTAGGGGTCGGGTCCGTGTGGCGGGGATGCAGGTCCAGACAACGGGCTTGGGAGGTCCTGTGTGTGCGGCGGAGATGGGATCGGCGTGCAGAGTTGGGGGTTCAAGTGAAGCGGAGATGGGGATCCACATGCGCCGGTGACCGGGTCATCGAGGCGGGGCTGGGGGAGCTCCGGGATGCTGGGGGTCCTGCGAGCCACTGCTGGATTTCCGGGACTGGGGGCTCGGCGGCGGCTCCTGGGCGCCCCCTGGCGGCCCCGACCCCGCCGCCGCCGCCGC